CTTCCTAGTGTGGCTTCAGGTTTAGATTACCCTCTTTATCCTTTCAAAGCCAATTCAATGTGGCTTTTCCTCTTTTGTCTCCTTGCAATAAATTCTTTCTTTATATATTTTGCTTTTGTTTTTCAAATATTCTTTTGGAAAATAGAATGCTTGAAGTAATTTTTTTTATTTATTTGACAGAGTCAGTGAGAAAGAGACAGAGAGAAAGGTCTTCCTTCTGTTGGTTCACCCCCAAAATGGCCACTACAGCTGACACTATGCCGATCCGAAGCTAGGAGCCAGGTGCTTCCTCCTGGTCTCCCATGCGGGTGCAGGGGTCCAAGCACTTGGGCAATCCTCCACTGCCTTCCAGGGCCACAGCAGAGAGCTAGACTGGAAGAGGAGCAGCTGGGATTAGAACCCGGCACCCATATGGGATGCTGGCACCGCAGATGGAGGATTAATCAAGTGAGCCACGGCACCAGCCCCTGAAGTAATATTTCAGTAAGAAAGAAATGCTTTTCTATTTGTTGTTTCTCTTCAATGAAGTACTGCAGTTATTCTGTAAAGTTGCACAAACAATAAATTGGGGAATGCTGAATCATTGCTCCTAGGGAAAATACAAGGTTAAGTTCTGATGAGTTCTGCTCACATTTTTATCAACCAATTGACACATAACCTTTTATATGGGTTTCTTTAAAGACATACTGTTGAATATACAATTATTTTATACAAATAATTGTGTACAGTATTTCTTTATAATAAAATGATAGCCAAAAAGGGTATGTTTTCTTGTGTGACTAAGTTTCTTTGGCTGTCAGCCTCACAGTGCTGTCCACTGTGCTTTTTAAAAATATATCATCATTTCATGAATCCATAAATCCAGCCATTTTTCCATAGCTTCATCACACACTGTGGATGTTATTTTAGCACTAATTGGTTTGGACTCATGTATAGGTCAGCAAATTTCTTCTTCCTAATGCATGTATTTTTCCATAAGTCACACCACAGCCTTATGGCACTTAGAAACATTAGTAAGCACTTAAGAATTATGTTTGGGAGCACTTTTTTTTTCTCTTTAATATAATTTTTTTTGTTTGGGAGCACTTTAAGCAGCAAAATCACATACAAAATTGTGCAAACTGTGGCAGTAAATAGGCTAGGAAATGAGCACTTGTTTACAATTTGAGAGTCGAAACAAGAAGGGAGAACCTAGTTTACTGAAATTTTTTGCTGTTCTGTGCTTGTCTGAAAAAGACTAAGAAAGCACTACAGTATTGACTTCAGGGTTACAAATAAATTTTAGCAAGCAACCAAATTTGCAAACATATAATCAGTGAAAAAAAACAATTGTAATCAGATTTATTGCAAACCACAGTTTTTTTTTTTTGTTTTTTTGTTTTTTTTTTTTTTTTTTTGCATTGCTGTTTTCAGGCCTTTTATGATGCTTTGAGTGAATTAGGAAGAATAAAATAACATTTTAAAGTTGTTACATGCCTTATATTTCTCAAAATAGTCCCATAAAAGAAAACGTTTATTATCAGGTTACTGTTAGTCAAAACTTAGGTTATGGAAGTAAAGCGATTATTTTGAATCACAGAACAAGCCATTGGTTGGTCAAAATGATACTGTGGCAAAACATCACTAAATTGTCAAGTATTTTGGCTATTTTGGGTAGAGGCCACTACCTTATACCTCTTTTTCCTGTGTGTGTATGTCTGTGTCTGTGTGTGTATGTTTGAGGACCTGCTAATGGAAGGTGATTCCTTTGAGAATTCAGTTTCTTTTCCTACCTGAAGATACATATTTATTTTTTAACTTTTATTTAATAAATGTAAATTTCAAAATGACAACTTTTGGATTATAGCAGCTTTTTCCCTCCATAACCTCCCTCCCACCCACAACCATCCCATCTACCTCTCCTTTTCCCTCTCCCATCCCATTCTTCATCAAGATTCATTTTCAATTATCTTTATATACAGAAGATCAACTTAGTATATACTAAGTAAAGATTTCAACAGTTTGCACCCACACAGAAACACAAAGTATAATGTACTGTTTGAGTAGTAGAAAGGAATACTTGTTGATGGTTTTATTTAGCAATATTGGCAATTTAAAAAATTTGCTTAAGTATGAAGTAGTAGTTAAACCCCAGGCTGTATAATTAAACCTGGTTCAGATCCTAGCTCTGCCTTTTACCATCTCTGTGGATTTGACAATGATATTTATTGTCCCAGAATAATAAGTGAGTTAGAAAATGGGCAGTATATTCAAAGAAATGTTTCTCAAAGGAGAACATAGAAATAGCCAACAGATACTTGAAAAAGTGGTCAATATTGCTAATCACCAGGGAAATCTAAATCAAAACTACAATGAGTTATCACCTTGCTCTAGTTAGATGAACTTTTATCAAAAGACAGAAGATAACAAATGTCGGCAAGGATGTGTTCCAAAGGGAAACTTGTGCACTGTTGATAGGAATTAAATCAGTTTATGATTTTTTTGCATCACTATTTTTAATAGCCAATGTGGGGAGCAACTGGGAGCAACTCGGACTAGACTAAGTTACTGGAATTAAGACTTATTCTATGCATCTGCTCTCCCACAATATGGCGCTGAGAAGGGAGAAGCAGCTTCTACACAGCTGCCTCCAGTTCAACCAATAAACAGCAGGACCTGCTCCTGATTGGAGGAGAGCAGCGTACTCGGTGTGTGGGCAGCCGAGTTAGGATTGGCGGAGGAGGACTATAAAAGAGGAGAGAGACGGCATGCACCAGGAACATCTAAGGGGAACATCTGAGGGAACACCTGTGCAGCCCCTGAGAGAGCCGGCCGGCGGTGTGCCGCTCCCCTGCGGAAGTGGGGAATGTGGCAGGGGGAACCGCCCTTCCACGGAGGTGGAAGGGTCGGTAGCCAACCCGGGAAGAACCAGCAGCAAACCCGGGGAGGGCCGAGCAGACGAAAGAACAGCGCAGGGTCCTGTGTCGTTCCTCCACGAAGACGGGGAGTGACAGCCAAGAAATGCAAACAACCAAAATGTTCATCCAATGAGGAATGGATAAAGAAAATATGACACATATCATAATGTGGAATACTATTCAGGTATAAAAGAGAATGAAATCTTGTCATTTACAACAATATGGATAGAGTTAGAGGACATTATATTAAGTGAAATAAGCTTTGAACAGAAGACAAATGCCCTGGCCGGTGTCGCGGCTCACTAGGTTAATCCTCCGCCTTGCGGCGCCGGCACACCGGGTTCTAGTCCCGGTCGGGGTGCCGGATTCTGTCCCGGTTGCCCCTCTTCCAGGCCAGCTCTCTGCTGTGGCCAGGGAGTGCAGTGGAGGATGGCCCAAGTACTTGGGCCCTGCACTCCATGGGAGACCAGGATAAGTACCTGGCTCCTGCCATCGGATCGGTGCGGTGCGCCGGACGCAGCACGCCAGCCGCGGTGAACCAACGGCAAAGGAAGACCTTTCTCTCTGTCTCTCTCTCTCTCACTGTCCACTCTGCCTGTCAAAAAAATAAAAAAAATAAATAAATAAAAAAAAGAAGACGAATGCCCCACCACAGTTTTTATGTTATAATTTAATCTTTCTATTTTCCATTTCCACTTTTATTTACCAGCGTTATTGCCACTATATCCAAACATCCTAGGCACCATACTAGACCAAAAATCATAAAAAAAAAAACAGTTTATATACAAGGAGCATGTACTCTGTTACAGAATAGCAACTGGATAGTGTATTGATTTCCTGTGGTTGCTGTAACAAATTATCACAAACATGATAGTGTTAAACAATGGAAACTTACTCTCTCACATTTCTGGAGGCCCAAAATCTGAAATCAAGATGTGTGCAAGGCCAGGATTCATCAGAAGGCTCTAGAGTAAATTCTGTTCCTTGTTTTTTGTAAATTCTGGTGATTACAGATATTCCTCAGCTTGTGGCTTCATCATTCTGATCTCTACTTCTGTGGTTACATTACTTCTTCCTGTCCTGTCTGTTCCCCTTTTTGTGTGTATGAGTATTTTTTGTTGGATTGAGGACCCATTCATATAATCCAGAATGATCTCACTCAAATTCTTAATTATATCTGCAAAGACCATCTCAAATAAAGTAACGTTCATAGATTTCAGGGATTTGGTGTGGATATTTTCAGTGTCCATTTTTCAGCCTATCATAGGAACAAATTGTTAAGTCTTTTTATGAGGATACACATACTTCTTATTTTAGGTATGAAGACTATGTTACCAATTATAAATAGGGCCATGGTAGTAATACAAAATGCATCCAAACAGTACTCAGGAGTTGCCTTTTTAGAGTATTTTAAGTATCTTCCCAGCCACCCATGCTAAGTCCTTACTGGGAAATTTAATATGCAGCTGTCATTCCTACCCCTGGAAAGGTAGTGGAATGCAAGCTCTTGAACAAGACTGTTGACTATAAACTTATCACCCTGCCTCTATCATTTACTGGCCATTTGGCCTTTGGTAAGTTTTGCTTCTTATTTTTACTTCTAAATTTTAAGCAGTTTATTTTTATTTCATTTATTTGAAAGGCAGAGACACAGAGAGTGAGGGAGGAAGAGACAGAGAGAGAGGGAGAGAACTTTCATCTGCTGGTTCACTCCCCAAATGGTCCCAAGCTGGGAATGGGCCAGGTTGAAGCCTGCAGCCAGGAATTCTGTCCAGGTCTCCCACATGAGTGACAGGGGCCCAAGTACTTGGACCATGTTCTGCTGCCTTCCCAGGTACACTAGAAAGGACTTGGATCGGAATTGGATAAGCTGGGACTTGAACCAGAACTCATATGGAACGCCAGTGTTGCATGCAATGGCTTAACCTGCTGTACCACAACACTTTCTCCTAATATTAGGTTTGAGAGCAAGAGATCACTCTCATTCACCTGTTCATTTTCCACATTCCTGGAATGGCTAGGCTTTAGGTTCGGGCTGGAGCCAGGGTCTAGCAACTCAACACAGGTCTCCCATGTGGGTATTAGGAACCCAATTACTTGAGCCATCATGCTGCCATCCAGAGCCTGCATTGAGGGGAAGCTGGATTCACGAGTCAGAGCCAGCAATCAAACCCAGGAACTCTGATGTGGATTGTGGGTGGTCTTTATTGCTGGGCTAAATGCCTGCTCTAAGTCTTAGCTCTTAAACGGGAAGCATAATATTACTTATCTCATTGAGTTTTTGTAAGAATTAAATGAACTAATACACAAAGTATTTAGAACTGTGCCTGGTATAGAGTTAGTACTTAATAAAGATTTACTTTTATTATTTATTGTTTTATTTTCCTTTATTGGGGATACAGGAAAAGTATAAAACATGGTCCCTTTAATTGTAGTTCCTGATGTTCTGTTGAGAAGGTAGGACTAAGACAGTTGAGCTCTGGTTGTAGCATGAAGAACCAAAAGTCTATCTTAGAGGTTGTTGTCCCACATTTATACTGAGATAAGGAAGCCTGAACTAAAGCTGTGTAGGGGAATGAAATAGAAGGATTGGATAAGTGAAGAATTCTCAAGGAACAATGGGAAAAACTTGACTCATAACTGGTTATGAGGGAGAGAAACAGTGTTTTTCTTCTTGACTCTATTTCTAAAACCTGCATTAGTTAGCCCTTTTTGTTGTGACTTAATTCCAAGAGTCCTTCCAGATCTCATGTTATATGAATTTGAACTTTCTGATTTTTTAAGAAATCCCTCAGGTACAACAATTTTTTCAGGTAAACTGAGAGCTGGAAGCCTACATAATTCCAGACTGTATGTTTGTCTAAATTATTCTCTGATGAATAATCTATCCTTACATCCACTCATTCCTGCTCTTACAGGTCTTTAAACATAGGGATCACAAACAAATCTGATGTAAAAGAGGACTTACCAAAGAAATAATTTAGGCTTATGTTTTTTCTATAAATATATTCTGCTTCCAGAATTCCTTCTTCTGGTGAACAGACAGAATTAACGAAGAGGAAAGAGAAGCAAATGTCTTGAGAAAACAGGTGGCAGTTGTTTCTTTTCTTAGAGCAGGTAGTGTCATCTCACAGTGGATTTCCTACTTTGTGATTATACAGAAGAGTGCATACTGATTCAGCCAGATAGAGCAACAGCATAATCTCGGTAACTCTTCAGTTTCTCTGTTACATCTAATAAAATTCATGAAAAGCAATCACCCAGACAAAAATGAAACAGGAATCCACCTAGGAAATAATGTTGAGAACATTTTTATTTTTTTAAATCATAGGTCGGACCTCATATACTTAGTTGTTATTCATTCAAAGAAGATAAATCTAACATTTCATCTGATATGCCAAACACCATAATAGCAAAATTGCTTTGTTGAAAATCAGTTTAACAAAAGTGATAACATTAAAACTTCTTACTGATAAAAGTTTGATATTTATTCAACATTACTTTCCTGCTTCCAAAATAATACTAGTACATCTGTAGTCAATCTACAATTAGCAGTTGTAGATGGACAGATATTTATTAGTTGAAAAAATGGAACAAGGCAATACAATTTTATAACATTATGTTTCACCTTAGATAAACATGATAGATACTTTATAGTGAATATACTGATGCCTAGAGTTGAATTACCGTAAATAATACAATTTAGAATATTCTACAGTCTTTTAGTATTATCACCGGGTAATCCCTGTCTCTGTGAAGGTGTTGCAGCTCTTTAAAATTCTAGATTAAAGAAAGTTAAAGATAAGCTGTTTGACATTACAAATCGTTCCTTTTGCTCATTTAGTCTGCCCTGTATTCTGAACCCCTCTTTTTTTTTTTTTTTTACTGTGTTTTTATGTTATGGTGTTTAAGATAAGAGAATAAAGAGGATGAATATCAAAGGATATTTAAATTTTCCCCATTGTGTTTATTATATTCAATTTGGAAGGTACAGACTGGTAGACAGAAAGGAAAGTTTGAAAACATCATCCGTGGCCGGTGCCGTGGCTCACTAAGCTAATCCTCCGCCTGTGGCACCGGCACCCTGGGTTCTAGTCCCAGTAGGGGTGCCGGATTCTGTCCCGGTTGCTCCTCTTCCAGTCCAGCTCTCTGCTGTGGCCCGGGAAGGCAGTGGAGGATGGCTCAAGTGTTTGGGCCCTGCACCCCCATGGGAGACCAGGAGAAGCACCTGGCTCCTGGCTTTGGATCAGCGTGGTGCGCCAGCCACAGCGCTTGGGCCGCAGTGGCCATTGGGGGGTGAACCAACGGCAAAGGAAGACCTTTCTCTTTGTCTCTCTCTCTCACTTGTCCACTCTGCCTGTCCAAAAAAAAAAAAAAAAAAGCAGTTGTGAGCACAAAATTCTTTGAGCTTTCTCAGATGATGATACATTGAAGGGAAATTCTAAAGATCATCTTCTTTTACTTTCTTCTGAAAGATACTTCTGTCTTTGTGATTTGCAGTTATCTAGACAGAAGATTACTATGTATCCAGATAATTTTGGCATACTTATAATCATAAATGTAGAGCTCAAACATGGAAAATTGCACACACTGTCTATCTTGTGTTACTACTTGTTGAGGGCTTTTATTGACAAGGGTTGCTATGGTATCTGATAGAAGGCACAGTAAATTTACAGTTCATTAATGTAGTTAATTAACATTCATATTTGATTTGTACAAATTATTGCAAGATTATGTTTTATAGTCAAAGCCAACACAATCCTTGTGCCTTTTCTCTTTGGTTACTTAGTACAATCTAAAAGAAGATACATATATATAAAATGTATATATTTATTTTTTTTTAACTTTTATTTAATGAATATAAATTTCCAAAGTACAGCTTATGGATTACAATGACTTCCCCCCCATAACGTCCCTCCCACCCGCAACCCTCCCCTCTCCCACTCCCTCTCCCCTTCCATTCACATCAAGATTCATTTTCGATTCTCTTTATATACAGAAGATCAGTTTAGCATACATTAAGTAAAGATTTCAACAGTTTGTTCCCACACAGAAACATGGTGGCATGTACCAATGCCATCTCACTAGTCCAAGTGATCAATTTCAGTTCACAATTGATCGTAATGAAAGGACTAAGAGTCAAAGGGAGCACATAAACAAGTCTAGTACCTGCTAATACTAACCGATAGAATAAATAAAGGGGAGAGTGATCCAACATGAGAAGCGAGATACTCAGCAGACCCATAGAATGGCGGATGTCCTAAACAGCACTCTGGCCTCAGAATCAGCCCTAAAGGCATTCCAATCTGGCTGAAAAGCCCATGAGAGTATTTCAGGCATGGAAAGCCAAAACACTCAGGCAAAAAAAAAAAAAAAAAAAAAAAAAAAAAAAAAAAAAAACAAACCCTAAATGAAAGATCTCTGTGAGTGAGATCCCAGTGGAAAGAACAGGTCTTCAAAGAAGGAGGTACCTTTCTCTGAAGGGAGGAGAGAACCTCCACTTTGACTATGACCTTGTCTAAACAAGATAAGAGTCGGAGAACTCAAGGGGCTTCCATAGCCTTGGAAACTCATGACTGGAGCATAGGGAGATTACTGAGGCCATAAACAAGAGTGTCAATTTGTAAAGTCAACAACAGGAGTCACTGTGCACTTACTCCTCATGTAGGATCTTTGTCCTTAGCGTGCTGTACATTGAGACTTAATGCTATAATGAGTACTCAAACAGTATATTTCACTCTGTGTTTCTATGGGGGTGCAAACTGTTGAAAGCTTTACTTAATGTATACTAAACTGATCTTCTGTAAAAAAAAAAAAGAAGAAGAAATTATCAATTCCCAACTTGACTCTCACTGGGATTAAACATGACAATAGGTCTGATCTGATTTCATCATCATTTAAAAAATCATGTATTATTTTTCACTTCAAATGTATATATTTATATATATATAAACAATTCAATATGGTGATGTTACTATTACATGATTCAAGAATCATTATATAAAAGTTTTTATCTTAAGTAAAAAGTGTTTGCAAAGAAAAGGGGCACAGATCAGTGAGGAGACAGGATATGAACTTACAGCCAAAGAGCTAGAATGGCTGAAGTTTATATTGTTGTTCCATCAATCCTGATTTTGAGTGTAGATAGGAGATGGGATGCATGTTTCTTTCTGGATGCTTCCTGCTGTTATGGGGTGTAGATGCAGGGCGGGGATCTGTACTCTGGATCAGATTGATTGAAGGAGAGCAGTCTTGTGTTGCTCCTGCGTGATGGCTTGAGGTATAGCAGGCATTCATTGCTGTAAGAACTTTTGAAATGTGTTAATTGTACATGGTAGGAATAGGAGCACTATGATTATGAGGATAAAAGGAAGTATTAGAAACCTTGACCATGGTGGAAAAGATGGCTAAAATGAGGACATAAGGGGAAATAGGAAAGCGAGTGTCCTGTACAGTTAGTGGGAAGGCAGATGTCTGCCTGGTTGCCATAGAGAAAGAACATTCCCATTTTGTTTAGAATGTACATGCTGGCAAGGAGCTGTGGGATGGAATTAGCCTGGCCTGCTTCTAGTCCTGGCTACCTCATTTCCTTCTCTTTATGGAAACCCTGGCTGCTGTCGGGTTAGGGCGAGGACTGCTTTGACTTCTTCAAGCTGAGTAGGGGTGAAGTAGGGACCTGAGGTCAAGACAGGCCTCAAAAGAATGTGGCCTCTCTAGGAGGCCACAGTACCAGCTCACAGAAGCTGTCTCCATTCAAGGTTTCATGTGCACGGCCATCTAGAATTTCATTGCTTCAAGTCTAGAGGAAATAGATTTAATAAGCAGGTTAAATACACAAGCTCTAAAACAAAGGACGGAGTCATCTTAGAGCATCTAAGAAAGGTGCTGCCCAAACCAGGAGGAAGTTTTCCCATTGAGAAGCAAACAGAAATTGACAGGAGTGGCTGGATAATAATCAGGTGGGCGTTGAGTCCTGGCCAGGTATATGTGAAGACCAGACTTACCTATCTATTTACATTGGCTACTGAAAGAGACATCATAATGGCGGTGTGAATCTCGTTAGGGAAGGCACCCTGTTGACTCAAATTTTCTAGCTGGCCTGGGACCAGAACTGGCCTGAATAGGTTAGTATCAAATAGGTGTCATTTCTTTCTTTTCTTTCCTTTCTTTCCTTTCCTTCCTTTCTTTCCTTTCTTTCCTTTCTTTCCTTTCTTTTCTTTCTTTCTTTTCTTTCTTTCTTTCTTTCTTTCTTTCTTTCTTTCTTTCTTTCTTTCTTTCTTCCTTTCTTCCTTTCTTTCTTTCTTCCTTTCTTCCTTTCTTCCTTTCTTCCTTTCTTCCTTTCTTCCTTTCTTCCTTTCTTCCTTTCTTCCTTTCTTCCTTTCTTCCTTTCTTCCTTTCTTCCTTTCCAGGCAGAGTTAGTGAGAGAGACAGGAGAGAGACAGAGAGAGAGTTATAGACAATGAGAGAGAGAGGGAGAGAGAGAGGGAAAGGTCTTCCTTCTGTTGCTTCACCCCCCAAATGGCCGCCGATCTGAAGCCAGAAGCCAGGTGCTTCTCCTGGTCTCCCATGTGGGTGCAGGGCCCAAGCACTTAGGCCATCCTCCACTGCCTTCCTGGGCCACAGCAGGGAGCTGGACTGGAAGAGGAGCAACTGAGACAGAACCCGGCACCCCAACTAGGACTGGAACCCCGGGGTGCCGGCACCACAGGTGGAGGATTAGCCTAGTGAGCCATGGCGCTGGCCAAATAGGTGTCATTTGTAAAAGAAAATTTACAGCTCTGTCTGCTGTTACTGAACCTAGGCTGTCCCCCTAATGGTGGTAGTTACTTTGGAAGCTAGACCAAGTGAATGGCTTTTTCAGCTTACAGAAAGGCAACAGGGTTTGCAGCACTGACCTGGTGTCCCAGCAGTTCTGTTTCCAGTGGCCTAGCTCTTGGCAGAGCTGATAACACGCTTCAGAGGCTGGCTTCCGTCATGACTGCTGTTTGTCCAAAGCCTAGCTTTCCACATTGAAAACCCATGCCATTTGTGGTGGACTGGCTTTCTGAGTGTCCTTGATGGCAGATACTGTGTGAAGCTGCTGTTAGTTGGCCTGCCGGCTATCCTTATATTGCTGCTGCTGCCCAGCTTACTCCTATTCCTCCTGGTGTCTATGAAAATAGACCTTGGAGGAGGCTGTTAGGATGTCAGCCACGGGGGTGCTCAGTCCTGTCCTAGTCTTGGGTGGCCTGAGCTAGAAATCTGTGGTCACAGGCATGTTCTGACAGTGGTTTTTTTTTCCTATGAGATAAAATAATGCACATGAGGAGAGCTATGCCCTTCTAAGTAAGAGCGAACATGATGGCCATCTTATCCAACCTGTCTATAAACTTTGAAGTCATTAGTAAAACTTTTTATCTCTCCCTTAGTTTGCTTTGAAAAGGGAGGTTTTTACCTATTTAATGTGCCCGTGGCAAAATAAATCTAGCTGTGACATCATAATTAAGCTCTCATTTAGGCTTTGCTATTTGGTCTTCTATTTGTGGCCAGACTATTATTACAGAAAAATGTTAGCCATCCCCACCCCGTTTTTTTTTAAGATTTATTTATTTTAAAGTCAGAGATAGAGAGGAGAGGCAGAGAGAAAGAAAGAGGTCTTCCATCTGATGGTTCACTCCCCAATTGGCCACAATGGCCGGAGCTGCACCGATCTGAAGCCAGGAGCCAGGAGCTTCTTCTGGGTCTCCCACGTGGGTGCAGGGGCCCAAGGGCTTGGGCCATCTTCTACTGCTTTCTCAGGACATAGCAGAGAGCTGGATCGGAAGTGGAGCAGCCGGGTCTCGAAACGGCGCCCATATGGGATGCCGGCTCTTCAGGCCAGGGCATTAACCTGCTGCACCACAGCGCTGGCCCCGTGCCATCCTTTTTTTTTTTTTTTTTTTTTTTTTTTTTTTGACAGGCAGAGTTAGACAGTGAGAGAGACAGAGAGACAGAGAGAAAGGTCTTCCTTCTGTTGATTCACTCCCCAAATGGCCACTATGGCTGGCGTGCTGCGCTGATCCGAAGCCAGGAGCCAGGTGCTTCCTCCTGGTCTCCCATGCAGGTGCAGGGCCCAAGCATTTGGGCCATCCTCCACTGCCCTCCTGACCCACAGCAGAGAGCTAGACTGGAAGAGGAGCAACCGGGACAGAATCCGGCGCCCCAACCAGGACTAGAACCCCAGGGTGCTGGCGCGGCAGGTGGAGGGTTAGCCTAGTGAGCTGCGGCACTGGCCGCCATCCCTTTTACAAAGTCTGAGGATCAAACTGTACATCCTGATGGAGGGTCCTTCAGAATGGAATCAGTTTCCCAACATGAAGAGAATAGAGAAATGAGTAGAGAAGTAAGGCTTCCCAGGTTGCTTACTGCCAATAACTGAATAGCAAGTGAAAACTTAGAAAGCAATTTTAACTCTCAAATAACAACTTAGGAAAACATTTACCAAAAGGTCCAATGGCTTCTATAAATTTATTTAAGAGTACATGTTTGGGCTGGCGCTGCGGCTCACTTGGCTAACCTCCACCTGTGGTGCCAGCACCCCGGATTCTAGTCCCAGTTGGGGTGCTGGTTCTGTCCCATTTGGGGTGCTGGTTCTGTCCCAGTTGCTCTTCTTCCAGTTCAGCTTTCTGCTGTGGCCCGGGAGGGCAGTGGAGGATGGCCCAAATGCTTGGGCCCTGCACCTTCATGGGAGACCAGGAGGAAGCACCTGGCTCCTGGCTTCGGATAGGCACTGCGCCGGCCGTAGCAGCCATTTCGGTGGTGATCCAACGGAAAAGGAAGACCTTTTTCTCTGTCTCTCTCTCTCTCTCTCACTGTATAACTCTGCCTGCCCCCCCCAAAAAAATAAAAAAGAGTACATGTAGTTGGAAATATTTCTTGAATATTTCACACAAGTGTAACTTGTTGGCCAGCAAACCCAAACCCAAACATGACAATTAAACATTTATAGTTTTTTCTACCAACAAATTTTAAATATCCAATACAGAGATTTACTTAGGTCACATGAACCAAAATGGTATTTGGTGTTAATTTACTAGTTTATATGAACACTTTTCTCTAAAAGCCAATTAAAACAGAACCTTTAATAAATTTTCCCTTGTAGACATGCAGTATGTACATGTGTATTACACATAACATACTTTACAGGATAGAATAACAAAAGTTTCAGTAATAACTTTTTAAAATATTTAGCTGCTTTTTAAAAATTACCACTAATGATTACAATTGTTTCCTGCTCTTAGTAACCTGAATTAACTACACTGTTTCTCAGTTGAAACTTGTAGTCCATTGCTAAACTTTGGCTATATCTGTTTATAGAGCTGTCCCCAAGTATTGAATACAGTAAAAGGAAAAATCCTTTATAACCTAGAGGAGGACATATGTATTTTTTTTTTTTTTTTGGACAGGCAGAGTGGACAGTGAGAGAGAGAGAGAGAAAGAAAGGTCTTCCTTTTTGCGGTTGGTTTACCCTCCAATGGCCGCCGCGGCCGGCGTGCTATGGTCGGCGCATCGCGCTGATCCAAAGCCAGGAGCCAAGTCCTTTCTGTCTTTCCCTCTCTCTGTAACTCTGTCTCTCAAGTAAATAAATAGAAATTTAAAATAGCCATGGTTAAAATTATAACATTCATTAACCAACAAGAGGCACTTCTTTACTCCATACAGTATTTTAGAAAGCCCCTGGAAGATTTTATAAAACATATATTCCTTTTAGGCCTCTGGGCCTTTTTAATGAAGATAATCATTGTGACTGATAATAGTACAACATAGGATCATTAGGCTTTTGTAACTTTTGGACATTTCTATCAGTAGCATTTTATATTGTTGTAACTTAAGATTTAGCACCAGTTCACATCTTGACAGTACCTTTAATAATCCAAATAGCCTAATTAGTTGGTGTTTCTGCAAGGTGAGGGAAATACGCTTTGACATTCCCAGAGGCTCAACTGGAATTATCAAAGTTCAAAGAATTTGGAACTCTGATTTTTTTTTTGAATGACTATCAAAGATGCCAGGAAGGCTTAAAATATCTGATATAAATTGGATCCCTTAACATGATGACAATATAGACTAGATACGATCAGTGTTATCAAGTGCTTCACTTAAATGCTTTAGAACGAGTATATATTCAAATAAACCACAACACTTTTGATTTAAAAAAAAACAGCTATTTTTAAACAATCAGAACTTAAGGAGAGGCAGAAAACACAAAGATATCCTCATTAGGATATAAAATTAATGTCTGTTTGGTCTGTCACCAAAATAAGAAATGAAAACCTTGAATATAAGATTTAGCACATCGAATCACTCTAAAGCTTGGAACAATTTTAACAGAGTCAAGACTAGAGAAGAGAAGAGAGCTTATGGAAGCTGGTTAAGAAACTGATAGAGTCACCAATTAAAAACTATCAAAATGAGATAATGCAGGGTTTTATTTAAGTTATACAAATTTCATGTATTTCATATATACAGATTTAGGAACATAGTGAGACTTCCCCCCAACAATCCCTCCCACCCACACTCTAAACCTTCCTCCTCCTTCCTCTCACATTACCACTCTAAATTTTTATAAAGATCTATTTTCAGTTTTCTTAATGACCATATAGTTAAGCCTACACTAAGTAAAAATGTTCAACAACTAGTATGAAGAGAAAATTTAAAACAAAAACATGTTTCCTCAACAGAAGAGACAAGAGCTGTAAACAACCATCAATTCTCAAAATGTCTATTTCACTCCAATACATTATATTTCCTCAGGTCATGGAAAACATATGATATCTTTCTTTTTGGGATTGGCTTATTTCATCAAGTATAGTGGTGTCTAGTTCCATCCTTCTTGTTGCAATAGACAGGATTTCATTTCTTTTTACAGCTGAGTAGTACACCATAGTGTATATACATCATAATTTCTTTATCCAGTCAGTAGTTGGTGGACATCTGGGTTGATTCCAGATCTTAGCTATTGTGAATTCTGCTGTGATGAACATGTGGGTACAGATAGCTCTTTCATATATTGATTTCTTTTGGTTTGGGTAAATTCCCAAGAGTGGGATGGCTGGGTCATATGGTAAGTCTATATTCAGATTTCTGAGGTATCTCCATACTGTCTATCACAGTGGCTATACCAGTTTACAGTCCCAACAACAGTAGACCAGGGTACGTTTTTCCCCATGTCCTTGACAGCATTAATTGTTTAGTGATTTCTGTATGAGAGCCATTCTAACTGGAGTGAGATGAAACCTCATTGTGGTTTTTATTTCCATTTCCATGATGGCTAGTTATGCTGAGCATTTTCTCAAGTGTCTGTTGGCCATCTGAATTTCCTCTCTTGAAAAAGTCTATTCAGGACCTTTGCCCATTTCTTAAGTAGGTTGCTTGTTTTGTAGTTGAATTTCTTGAGGTTTTTACAGATTCTGGAAATTAATAATTCCTAAACCAGAAACCAACAAAAATGGGAAATTATAAACCAGTTTCTTTGATGAACATAGATGCAAAAATTCTCAACAAAATGCAAGCCAATCAAATCCAACAGCACATCAGAAAGATCATCCATCCACACCAAGTAGGATTTATCCCTGGTATGAAGGGATGGTTCCACATATGAAAATCAATAAATGTGATACATTACAGCAACAAACTTCAAACAAAATATGGTTATCTCAATAGATGCAGAGAAATCATTTGATATAATAACAAGATCCTTTTATGATGAGAACCTTAAAGAAATTGGGTATAGAAGGAACATTCCTCAACATAATCTAGGTAATTTATGACAAACCCACAGCTAGCTTTTTACTGAGTGGGGAAAAATTGGAGGCATTTTAATTAAGATCCAGAACCAGACAAGGATGCTCACTTTCACATTTGCTATTTAATATAGACCTGGATGTTCTAGCCAGAGCCATCAGGCAAGAAAGAAAAATCAAAAGGATACCAATTTGGAAGGAGGAAGTCAAACTATCCCTATTTGCAGATGATATGATTCTATACATAGGGGACCCAAAAGGCCCCATAGATTTTGATATGATGTATTACCATCTTCAATTGTTGCCAGAAATTTCTTGATTTGTCTTTTGATTTTTTCTGTGACCTACTGTTCATTCAGGAATATGTTGTTCAGTCTCCATGTGTTTGCATAGAGATTCTTGAATTGTTGGTTTCTAGCTTCATTCCATTGTGGCAGAAGATGCATGATATGATTTCGATGGTGTTGAGTTCGCTGAGACTTGTTTTGTTTCCTAGCATATGATCTATCCTAGAGAAAGTTCCATGCACTGATGAGAAGAATATGCATTCTGCAACTGTGGGGTGATAAGTTATGTAGATATCAGTTAGGTACTTTTGGTCCATAGTGTCAATTAGCTCTGTTATTTCTTTGTTGACTTCAGTTTAGTTGATCTGTCCATTGATGGAAGTGGGGTATTGAAATCCCCTGTTACTATTGTATAGGATTTTATATCTCCCCTTAGATTCCTTGACATTTCATTT